AGCTATTTGTGCTGGCATTACAACTGAATTATACTGGCAGCCACTGTAGCCTCAACTACTTTATTTTATAGCCTCAACTCCTTTATTTTGAATGCAGTTCCAGGAGAAATTATCTTGGTTACTACAAGATGATCTTTTTCTAGTGACACACAGATACACATACACACATATATAATTATATATTGACATACACAAGCATATAGACAAGTTACATATGTATGTATTTGATAAATAGATATCATATACATGACAGATGATGGTAGATGAGTAGGTAGGTAGACAGATAGAGATACAGATGATAAATACATAGATAGATACATAGATATTATCAACCCTGAAATTAATGACTGAAAGCAAATTCTTGTCTTCAAGCAGGCCAGACATCCTGAATAGAAGCTGGCAGAAGAGTATGCTTAGACAACACTCATGCAGTGAGTCATCTGTGTTTTCACAACATGTTTCTCCCCAGCACCCATGTCTATTTGTAGCCTGACAATAAAGGCCCTATCCAAACCATCTCTGAGCTGTCTGCCTTTAAAAGCAAGGACGTGGTTCTCAGCTGACTCACTGGAGCTGCTTGTGCTATGGAGACTAACCTGCTGCCTCATTTATGAAAGAGATAATATAACGGCAGACACCCAGGTTTGCCCAGTGTTTTCTGCAAGGTCTTGGTCCTGTGTTTAGAAAGGTAAATGAAGGGAGAGGACTTGAATCCTTAAATAAGCCTATTACATACCACTGCTAGTACCCCATAGGGACACAGAAAAATGTTGCTTCCATCAACACTTTAGATAATTTACTCACCTCACTCTACCTCCAGAATATAAAAGTCTATCTATCTAACACATGGTAGGCACTCCATAAACATTTGCAAAGAAATAAATTAGTATTTGTCATATACCTATGAAATGACCTAAGACTTATCACCAAATCCACAAAATATTCTGTTGTCCTAATGCCAAGTCAAAAAGCCTTCTGCTAACAGATTAAAACATTCATAAGGTAAGGTACACACCCTTTCAGTCATGAGATACTCTTAAATATGTCAAGCCAGCTCACTCCCTAGTTCTTAAAACAGAACAAAAACTATTCATTAATTTTTCAGTTCAACAAATATGCATTAGTAACCACCAATTTTCCTTATTAATCCTTATTCATGTTTTGGCCACCCACTGTGACTCCTGCAAGCTGTCTAGAAGGACTTTGTCAGTATAGTACTAAAGGGAAAAGACTTCATATGCAAAAGAAGTCAAGTATGTTGTTCAGTATTTTCATTCACAGAAACCTTTAAAAATTCACCTATATTCACTATTTCAACAAAATTATCAATAGAGGTTACAAAATCTATTAATAAAATAATTAAAGTACATCCAAAAAAATGTCCTCATGAGTCTGTATAACTTTCCAACTTCCCAGGCTAATATCCGACAAATATTTGGGGGCAGTGCTTAACACACTGATGCTCTATCCCATTCATGCTTCTGACATTTTCAGAACCCAGAAAACAGTCAGGGTTTACCAAGATTATATAAAACAGAGGGAAATCCCATGATATCTATTTTTATTATACAACAAAGTCTACTATCCCAAGGACTCACTCAAATAGAAACTGAATCATCCAAAAGTTACCAAAACACACTTGGATAAACCCCCTTGCTCTTAGATGCTACTACGTTCTAAAGGTAAATCTGGGATGAAGATTTGGCTCAGTGGTAGAGTACTTGCCCAGTGTACTGGGTAGTTTGATGTTAAATTGACACAGCTAACATCATCTGAGAGGAGGAAACTTCAAGTAAGAAAATGCCTTCATAAGATCTGGCTATAGACAAGCTTGTAGGGCATTTTCTTAATTAGTGATTGATGGGGGAGTGCCCAGCCCATTGAGGGTGGTGCCATCTCTGGGATGGTGGCCCCGGGTTCTGTAAGAAAGCAAGCTGATCAAGCCAGAGGGAGCAAGCCAGTAAGCAGCGGTCTTCCATGGCCTCTGCATCAACTCCTATCACTAGGTAACAGCCTTGTTTGAGTTCCTGTCCTTACTTCCTCCAATGATGAACAATGATGTGGCAGTGTAAACCAAATAAACCCTTTCCTCCCCAAGTTTCGTTGGTCATGCTGTTTCATAACAGCAACAGAAGTCCTAACTAGGATACCCAGGATGCCCAAGACCCCGAGTTCAATCCTCAGTATCCCCCCACAAAAAAATTAAAGCTAAATCTCACAAGATGGTAAAGATTATATTTCAAAAGAAGCATTAAATGTCCATGTAGGAAGTATTACGTTATTCTTTCAATGTCCATCAAAAAAAAAAAAAAAAAAAAAAAAACAACTCTTTAAGATGTTTCAGCACAAGTAGACCTCTGTATCGCCCAACAAAAGTTGTTTTTATTCTTAAACATCTTCTCAAAACCAGACAGTGCAACCCTCAAACATCATCAGAGAAGTTGCCTTGTTCCATGGGCAGCAATTAACACAGAAACTCACAACTGGTCCATGTATAGAGAATAAGTCTCTATGGAATGCTCAGTCACCAATGGTTTATCAATATATGTCCTTTCCCTGAAAGGCTTAAGAATCAGCCAAGAAGAGGGGAAGAAAGGCTCTCAGCCAGAGGTTGAAGAACTGGAGTAAAACGGAGCCCTCAGAAAATGACAGCACTACTGAACTCATGAACCCACAGCGGATGCGGTTGCCTACTGACTACCTGTGTTAGACCAAGCCATTCAACAGGCTAGCATGGAGACAGGATGTCTCCAGAGCCTCCGTCTGAGGAGTTACTGATAGTGTATGGCTTCTGGGGTAGGGAGAATCAGTTGCACTTAAGGAAGTGACCCCTGGTAGGTCAACCATGCTTCACTGGTTGGCCCCACACCTCTGAGCATCCATTCGGGCAACACAAACCAGATTTAGAGGGTTATTTTCAATAGTGGTCATGACGGTGGGCGGCTGAGGGTGGGGGGGATGGAGTGGATAGGAGCAGTGAATCTGAGAGGAGTGGAGAGGAGGAAAGGATGAATATGATCAAAATAAAGTATATGCACTTCTGAAATTCTCAAGAATAATGAAAAAACAAAGGAATAGCCAGTAAATATGATAAGTGTTTAATGGCAAAATAAATATTGATATACTAAAGAGGAGGGGCCGGGCTAGTAAACAGCTGAAGCCCTCATGAACACATGTTTTAAATGCCACATGTGGCTGTATGTGCTAGCTTTATGCTGGCCTCAAGGTGTTTCCTCAGTGGATTCTCCACTGGTTTCCTAAACGATCCGCTTTTGAGAGCATTATGCTGTAACCTGGATGAGAAATTGCCGCCCAGCTTGAATCTAGGTCAGAGTTTATGAAAATTTTATTACTGTTACAACTGAGTTGTTTATCCCTGTCTTAGGAACAGGGATACCCATGGCAGGGGCGGCTGCAAAACCCTCTTCCTGTACTTTGGTTCTAAATCACACACATTTGGTCTCCGCAACCCATGCCCAGGGTAGCACAGAGATTCATGTTCTTTGGCCAGCAAAATGGTAGTTTTTCAAATGCTAATCAATGGTAATACTTGGTTACAAGCTTTCATTGAGAGTTTGAATTTCAGTGAGTCTTTGAAAGTCGGAAAATGGAGCAATTTAAGATACACAACCACATGAGACGAAACAATGAACGGTACTTGCCTCTTTCCAAGAAGCCTCAGCTTTTAGTGGTGCCTCTGCTGTGAGGGAGCCCGTGCCAGTCTTGTGGAGAAGCCACATGGAGCTTCCCTAGAACCCAACTGCTCTAGACACTCTAGCCTAGGCACTTTTGACCAGAAATCATCAGACAACTTCAAATTCTGGTGCCATTTAACTGTGATGCATATGAAGGGCCAAAGAAAGAAGGCCTCAGCTGAGCCCATCAACCACCACAACCATGAGATGTCATATAAAATGGCGGCTTTCTTTAATGGATAAACATACTTAACCTAAAATAAAATTGTGTCATTTTTTTCCCTTGGTACTTGGTACCACAAGAGTGTTATCATCTCTATCTTATCTTTGCATCTAGAAAGGACTCTGGAGCACAAATATTTACTGGAGCCAAAGAAATGTAACAAAAGTAATCTGCAGGAATTAGCTACATTTACAAACTAAGAAGCTGGCAGGCAGCACATGTGAATGCCACGTTTAACACTAACGGGCAAGCAAATGGAAGAGTAGAGTTCGAAAGGGCTTCAACCGAGTTTCAGCTCCTTCACTGTGTATTCAGTACCGAGCACAACACCTACTGTTTCTAATGCCTAGATCAACTTTAAGTCATTTTTCCACACGCTGTTCTAACTGATGGGGGGTACGGGGATAGATGACATCTTTTCTCTTATTAAAACTGTAGCTATTATTGACGTGAAAGGAAGGCAAACACCACCTTTCATAACCAACAAACTGTGGTTGTAACTAATGTTATAACATTAACTCGGCCAGGTTCTTTAAACAGTTCAGTGAGAGACGGTCCAGGAATAGAAGAAACAACTTCAGCTGGGATTCACTAAAGCTGAATTCTACTGGCAGGCAGGCAAATCCAGCCTTGAGCAAACCACTCCACTGCTTGATGCATGGATTTGCTCATGTTCGAACAAGGGCAAAGAGGCAGGTAATCATACATCCCCAAAGAGTGTGATCACTAAGTGAAACCAAATAAGGCCCATACATTCCCTATACTGGGAGCTCTAAACCTTGTGCACCACACAGAATCCAAGCAGCTGAGATGCTTTTGCCCAAATAGAATTGTAGATCCTCATTTCCTCCCCTTCTTTTCCCCACTTGTGACTCAAGCCAGATTTCATCGAGCTATTTTTGTAATTACTAACATGCTGGAAATACAGCAGCGAGCCAGAAGCAAAGTAAAATGCAGCATCCAGCAAAAGAAAGAAAAATCACGCTGAGCAACTGAAGGGCCATCTGCTGCTCGCAGAGCTGCAGGGGTGAGAGGGACAATCTGCACTGGACTATTTGCGTCCTCTCTCACATCAGACCCACCTGCATGTTGTCAGTGGCATCCCCGAGCAGTCCTCCAAAAGTGATGGCGTTGGTTACCGTTGCCAGATAAATGAAGAGAATTGCCGAAAGAGCCTGAATATTTAAAGCATCATAAAAGTCACTGGCAAAAAATGGAGCTTTCCTCTTTATGTCCTTAATTAATCCACCACAGAACCTGGAGAGGGAGAAAGCAAACATGTGATCAAGTGTAAGATAAACAGCCATCAAATTCATCAAGACATAATTCACTGAACCGCAAAGAATTTGGACTTCACATGCTTGAGTCAATGACAAGATACTATATAAGACAGTCTCATTTAGATGAGACAGGAAAAAAAAATGTTAGAGAAATACATCTTCTTCTGTCTCTCTTTTTCAGTTACCAGAATAGGTCCAACACTCCCCAAAGATCATCTAGTTGTTCCTTTTAGATGACAGTATAGAATAGATAAATTATAATTTTCCGTTCTCCAAAGACAAACATCCAAATACAATGCATCTCTCCTAAAGCCCCTTAAGATGTCACAATGTCATTTTACCCCCGCTCTGGTGCTCACCAAGACCTGTGAGATGCACACACTCTGCCATCATTCTCTGCTGGGGAAACAACACTGAACAACCCAGGCTCTGAATCTCTGACCTCATGGAGTTTACTCTTGGGGACAGAGGGTAGACAGTAAGAAAAATAAGTAAATAAATAAAAATCAAGGAAAAATTAAATGGAGGTGGGAATTATGTAGTTCTAGGGGAAAGGTATTGGGAAATATAGATAGACGGCCAGAGTGGGCCTCTGAGAAAGTGAATTTGGAACAAGGACCCAAAGGGACGAAGGGCATGCAGGTGTGTGGCAGGCAAGACACATGTTGAACCCATGCACCAGCCTCCTTTTCTTCCAACAGAAGAAACAGCCTTCCCCACAGAATGTGACCTCTGTGCAAGGTACCCCTTTCTAGAGCCTGACACCTCATCCTTAGCTGCGCTGAGCACCCTACTTCTGTGTCCTTGCTAGACACTGGGTTGTGCAGCTACTAAAGGAATGTGGGAAGGGGACAGAAGGAAGAATAAAACAACAGTTTGACGCATTTCAACACATTAAATTCCACAACTCATATCTGAGTTCTATGTTGACAATGGCAAGGTTATTCCTAGTGCAAATAGTTTATAAAGAACCGTAGTCATGCACTGCTTAATGACACTGAGATCTGTGATGGGCCACATATGTGACGGTGGTCTCACAAGATGACAATGTAACTGAAATGACACTATCACAGAGAGGCTTCATTAGATATGATAATATTCTCCAGTACAATTCTCTCCTTGTCTGTCATGGTGGTATGCTGGCATACGTAAGCGTTAGTCTACTGGGAGATATATAAAAGCATATAATTACACACAAACCTAGCTATGTTACCAGTTCATGCATTTGATGTACTACAGTTTTGATTGTTACTTTAGTGCATACTTCCTCTACTTACAAAAATAAGTGTACTGTAAAACAATACGCCATGTTAAGCTGGCAATAGCTTCATACATGTCATCTTTATCTTGCCTTTTGACTACATCAAGAAGCCACAATGAATAACTGGCCTATGCCTTTAGATTTTTATAAGTAGAACTCTGATGTTTGCATGATGACCAAATAATCTAAAGCCAGAGTTCTAGATCATACCTTGTCAATTAAGCAATATATATGGTGAGGAGGGTTTTATTCTCCATTCTTTCAGAAGAAGAGAAATAATTCCTTTTTACTTTAGGAGAGAAACTCAAGTGGGTCACCAGTAGAAGGAAATAATATCATTTCATTCAGATTCAACTGCATATTAAAATGATGTATTTTTGGTTTTTTTTTTTAAATCCTGCAGTGATTTCCACATCTTCATGAAAAGAATAACCTACTAAAAATTTTACTTAACCCAAAATGGTAAAAAAAAAAAAAAAAAACAAAAAACCAATCACCTAATAATGGAGAAGCGATCACAGAAGAAGTTAACGAAAAGGTTCTTAGAAACCAGAATTCTCAGTATGGGCAAGGAGACCACAGACCACCCCTTTCCACACTTTAGAGTAAACATACAGGGAAGGGACAGAACCCTGAAAGCCACCCAGGAAACCTAGGCCAGCTTCAGTCAGCCATAGCACCCATTCTCACCTGCCATCACCTTAACCTTCTTTGCATCATCCCATCACTTGTTCCATTGGTCACACTGTCCAGATGTCAGTGTCCTAGGCATTCTACGCCTCAGTTCTCTTTCCTAAGTCACACCCACACAGACTGTCTCTCACCTGCTTTAGCATTTCCCTCGGACACTGTCCTTAGCCACAAGGCCCACTCCGATCACTCTGTCTAAAAATAAACTACTACTCATCACCAAAGTCCCTGTTTTCCTTCATTGTCCTCATAAACTCACTGGTGCATTTATTTATTTGCTTAAGCCTTCTTGCCCACCTCTACACAGTGAAGCCCATGAGGCCGGGCATTGGCATACTGCTGTATCTCCAGTTCCTGTGACTAATAGATGTACTATAATTGTCTGTTGGCTGAACAAACGAACAAAGCAGTAAATAAAATACTGACAGTGAATTCAGAACAAGGAAGGGAAATTTAGATCTAAGGAAAACCTTATCACGAATGGCAAAAGGTTCCATCAGTTACCGGCCAGTTCTCTGTAGCTCTTCACAATCACCGTGCCCTCCTCCTCCATGTCCTCCATCATGAGGTGTGTCCCCATTCATCTGAACATTCTCTCCACCTGAGTACATATTCTTCCTAAGAAAGACAACAGGGTGAAGTAGAGATTAGTTTATTGTGTTCATTTGCTTTCATGGCTGTAGGATGTTTACAGAGACAGAGTGGAAGGCCTTCTCAGAAAAAGATCATGATTCCTTATTCTTTGCTAACAGGCAATTCTTAACGTATTCTATCTAGAGGTGAGATAAATGCCTAGGTGAACACAGAGTTTAACTTATTGCGCATTTATAGGAACGAAGGTGTTTCACCTGGGGAATGACAGATTTCCAGGAAATGGTTTCTCCTCAACTTCTCTACTAAACTGCTTAACCTGCTAAGTCTGCAAGGGCTCTTCTTGAGTAAAGTGATCTTTCCACAGATGCAGACAGAAAGTCCCCAAGACATCCCTCAAAGAAGACCTATGACACATTTCCAACACCATGAGCTGAGCTGAGTGTAAGCACTAAAGGACATCAAAGCATAGGACACTTGCTTTACGGTGTCAAGTAAATCTAAAGCCAAGGCAGATCAGAGACTCATTTGAGGCAAAATATCCATGGGGATCTAGAACTATCAAAGCATGGGCTGGCCCTACACCTTTTCCAAACGCAGTCTCCTGGCGGGGCTTGGCAATCCCTGAATATTGCCAAGCACATACTGGCTTACCTTTTGTCAGATGATGGGAGGCTCTTTGGAGGTTCTATCCTGATTGCGGGGTCCCATTCCCCAGGTGGGAGGACAATGACTTCATCCAGGAACTCATCAATGCCGGCAATCAGGTCGTGCCTATCTTTTGCTTTGTAAGCGATGTCATGGAACACCTGAATATCGAGAGATGTGCTGATCAACCGAGGCAGCCTTCTGAATGGCTCACAACACATCCCAGCTGAGTCACACAACCCACAGTGCACTCTGACGTTCCCATAACTACACTCTCATCTTCCCCACTATTCAGTCTATTGAACACTGCAGGTTATGATCTCAGCATCTAAGTAAGGGGTTGAAGACATGGAATTTTAAGTATGTTTTTTTTCCCCATCAAAATTCTCACAATCGCTGTGAGAGCCAGATGAAAATGTTTTCTCAAGATTCCCTGCTGAAAGCCGTTTCCTGAATTAAAAGTTATGGGACAACTGTCTGTGAAAATCCAGTAAGAACAAGTTCACACTGACTCTTAAAACCAGGATAAAACACACTCACGGCTGTCCTCTAAAACTGTGAGCTATTTTAAAAGAAAGAAGAAAGCTGGAGTTATATTGGCAGAAAGGAATAAATCAGTGCTCACCTGCCCACCCCCTTTTAGCAAGGTAATATCTAACTCACCGAAGACAGCATAGGGGTTTGAATGAGAAATGGTCCCCACTGTCTTGGGCCTTTGATCACTTGCTCTCCAGTTGTTGTCAAGGCTGATGGAAGTTTGGGAGGTGTGGCCTTCCTGGAGGAAGTATGCCACAGGGGGCAGGCTTCGAGAGCTTCAGCTCTCACTGGACTTCTAGTTTATTCTCTCTGCTTGAGTTTGATGACATGAGCTCTTAGCTTCCTGTAACTGTCACCTGCTGTCCTGCTGTCATGCCTCCCCATAATGATGGTGGTGACTCTCATCCCCATGGAGCTATAGGCCTCCATGTTTTCATTTTCCTATAAGTTGCCGGAGTCATGGTAGTCTATCATGGTGACATAAAGGTAAGCCATACAGACAGCAAAACCTCCACAGCCTTTGTTCCCATCAGAGAAGGGGTTTCAAAATGGCACCCAATCCCTTTTCTCAGTAACCCATTCTTCTAACTGAGCTGGTCTGAAGGTCTTCTTCACAAAATAAAGCCTTTTACATTTTGTAAGTTAATTATTTTTATCATCCAAAAGAGAATATGGCCCCTGTTCAATACCCTCCTATGCTATGGCTTTCTACCATGTCGCTCCTCCTAAAAAAAAATCATTTTTAAGAGCTCTCAGGTATATAACACTAGTTTGGGAGTTCTGAGGTTGATAAGAAGGCAATACACAGGGAAAGTGTTTCTTCTGTAGCAGACATATCCTCTCTCGCCTAATTTTCTCTGACAGACAAGAGTCAAAAATACACCTTCTCAGCCAACCTTGCCAGTAAATATTGGCAGTTTTGACCAATGAGATGTAAAAAAAGCAAAGTTGTAAAATACCTGTTGAAAGAGGCCCTCATCAATATCAGAAAGCCACTCTATGCCTGTTACATGTGGCCAAAAACAATCCTAATTTATATTAGAAAAGAATTTTAAAAGAAAGTAACTATAAACACACAAAATTAAATAAATCAATCGACTAAAAGGATGGAAATAAATGTCCTCTTGAGGGAGACAACAGAGTTGTGTACAAGTGCTCTTGGACCCAGAAGAAAGCAAACAGCTGAGCAATAGTCATGCAGAACTTCTACACCACAGTGGGGACAGAGCCTACAACTCTACACTTAACATGAAAAACTGACAAATCAAGCCACAGCTCAAAAGTAAAATCTTAAGAAACAGCAAAGTAGAAAGACTGGAAAACACAAACTGATGTGCCTATACTCCAACAGTATTTCCTCTACTATAAGAATAGTTCAGAGTTTTATCATAACTAAATATGCGTATTAATACTAAAGCTGCTGTAAGTATGGATTAAAATGTCAGCTCCAAAGCACTAGATAGCAACAGTACCTGATGCACCATAGACTGGCCTCCTCACAAGACATAAACCATAAAAACAAATACATTCTCATATCTAAGAAAATGTATCACCTACTTTATTATGCATTGTTTTATAAAAGTCATCATTTTGAAATAATATAGTATAAGGACATATGAGTTCAGAGAATTGATAAATTAGATAGTTTACGAGATAAAGTAATACAGTGACCTTGAACTTATTCAGCAATACTTAAACATTAGTTTTACCAATTGAAAATACGTAAGGATAGTAACAAGGTACCTGCATATTGACCACTTCAGACAGTAACTATTTGTTGGCATTGAGAACACTCAAAATTCTCTTTATTAGCTATTTTTTCAGTATACAATTAATTGCCTTTAATCATCATTGCTCTACTGTGCCACAGATTATTCCAAAGTGTATAACTGAATTAAAACATCACACAATAACCTATAAATAGGAAAACTTTACGATATTCACTTAATTTTTAAGAAATTTAGAATACTTTCTAAATATTTTTGCTTGGAATAAAAAGGGAAATGCACTTTGTGTTAATCTGACACAAAAACAAAACACATGCCTTACTTACTGTTCTACATAAGGAAGCTCACTTTCCACAAATGATTGTATGTCACCCTGTGAAGAGCCTTGTAGGCACAGAATTCTAACTGAATGAACATGACAGTCAATTCACAGTCTGGATAGACACAAACACAAAAGGCAATCACACATCTGCTTGTCCTGCTTCCCTACCTCATCAGACATCAAGGTGGCGATGGCTCTTCCAATCTCATGGTAGGACTTGGCTTTCCCCTTTGGACCTAAGAGAATGAATAAGAACCTAATGGAGAAGGAGAGAAGCAAAGGCTGTAACACATGTTTCATCAAACCAGGAAATTGTTATCTTAACCCATTATAAGATCAGCGGTAGAGATCATCTTTATTATGTGCGTGCACAAGTATGTGTGTGTGTGTGTGTGTGTGTGTGTGTGTGTGTGTGTGTGTGTGTGTGTGTGTGTGTGCATGTGGAGGCCACAGGTCAGCTGTCTTCCTGAGGAGCTCTTCCATTAGTTTTGGAGACAGGGTCCCTCACTTAATCAGGAGCTCCCAGATGTAGTGGGACTAGCAGCCCAGCAAGCCCAGGGGTCCTCCTATCTCTCCTTGTTCAGTGCTAGGATTACAGGCACACTCCACGGCACCTGGCTAGTTACCTAGGTACTAGCCATCTGAATTTGGGTTCTCTTATTTGTGAAGCAAGGTTCTGCCGAACTGAGGGATCTACCTAGCCCTTAGAACTCATCTTTGAAACAAAGAAAGATACAATGCTAAGGGACAGTAAAGATTCTTTCACACTATCACAAGGTATTCCTAAATTAAACTGAAGATAGAGAAGAAACCTAAGAGCCTTCTTCATTGAGCAGGAAAAGGTTTACTTATCTACTTCACAAATTGCTGGTCTGTTTTAAACTGTCTGTTGTCTTCAGTTCTACTGACTTTGGAATCTGTGGTGCAAGTGTGTTAAGGGCATTAACTACAAAGACTTAGTCCATTTTCTGATTTCTCTGACCTTCCTGTACCCAGTAGGGGCAGTGACAAGTGCTCTTCTCCACATTTTCAGAAAACCTTGTTATTCAGCTGAGTGGGATGCAGTGAAAACCAAACCTTCACAAGTAAGCCACACACTGATAAGAAGGAGAAAGAAATATGAGACAAATAAAAAGTTCAAGCACCGTTCACAGATAGCGAAAAGCCCTTTGTGGGTTCTCTCATTTTCCTTTCTAAATTTAATTTCTTGATAACATAAAAAGCATTGCTCCAGAGCTAGTATGTCCTGAAATAAGCAATGATGAACTTGTCACTTTGGAAGGAGTCCCTCGCTCACCATGAAGGCAGAAAAGTATGTCTCCACTGAGGAAGAGGGAACCTTATAAGTAAGTGACTAAGAAAAGGATGCACACAAAAGGTGACGTTGGGTAAATCCCTGCCTTGCTATTGCTCATGTCTTACCTAACAGGGAGACAGTGAAGACAACACATACAACGGAATCATGTGTTTGCACAGCTTCCGACAGCCTGCAAAGCACATTCATCACCCTATTTAAATTCCCACACAACCTTCTGCAAAACAGAGTGCCTCCTGTTTAACATTAAGGAATTTGAGGATGGGGAAGATGATAGGTGAGCCCAAGGTTTGTGCCTAGTAAAAGACAGGGCTGAGGACAGAGCATGTGGCTACAATGCGTGATGCTCTGGTTCAGCCTCCAGCATCAAAACAACAAAGTCCGGGGAGGGCAGACTGCAGTACACAGGCATCTTATGTCTCACTCCTCCATTAACAACTCTGCACACATGCATGCATGCACACACAGACACACACACACAGAGAGAGAGAGAGAGAGAGAGAGAGAGAGAGAGAGAGAGAGAGAGAGAGAGAGAGAGAGAGAGAGAGAGAGAGATGCACTGGGGCTATGATTCAACAATCATTTTCACAGGTCCCTCCTGGGAAAAGAACTGTGGATTCTTACATAGCCAGGAACAAGGAAGAGTAGACAAGATTTGGTGGTACTAAGAACTGTTTAGCAGCTTACTTCACTAAATTTTACTTTTATTTATTTATTTCCCTAACTCACTTTAAAAAGAAAAAGTGTGAAATAAATGTCACCGTCTATTCCAAAATGGTCCTAAGCATGAGTACTTTTCTTCATTTGTAAAATTTACTCCAAAGAAGATAGAAAAAAAATGAGGAATTAAGATTGTAACAAATGTTCTTAAAAGTTTGACTACTCAGATTTTGTTATCAGAATAACCATAAAACCATCCAGCACTTATTTGCTCAGAACTCGCCCTGCAGTGGAGGCAGGACTCACTGTCCAGGGTTGCCACAGTGAAGGAAACAGCAAAAGCAATTGGCAATTCTGAAGCCTGCTCAAGTGGTCACCGCTGGAACTGCACGTTAGCTCTTCCAACACTTCCACTGATGCTTAGATTTGTCTTCCCCTGAAGATAACACTTCATATATAGCAATGAGGCACCACAAAGTCCTTCTTCTTGACAGTAAAGTGGTTTGGGTTTTTTTTTTTTTTTTTTTTTTTTGGTGGCACTAGAAGGAACGGTCATCGCTCTTAGCACAACACAAGCAAAAATATTTAGCCACTAAAGCAAGCTCCTAGTAAGAAAATTTTTTTTTAAAAAATTAGTTCTGGCTACATTTGCCAGTTCTGCTTGCTTGTCTATAAACTTCTGTCAGAATGACAGAAATGGTCGTTTGGGGCTAAGTGGACAGGTATAGTAACATAAAGGAAAAATGTCTTGTCACTGGCTCCTTTGTTTAGTCCATCTTTACTGGATTTCTCCTGTCTGACCCTGTCACTGTTTCCATGTGTCTAAATATTAATGTTCCAAATAATACGCAACCATTAAAATCTTTTCAGGGCCATTCTCTCCCACCTCTCTCCAGCAGCCCCATGTGAATTCAGCTTGAAGAAACATCCTCTGGAAACTGATACATGGATTCATTATCAGCTTGTACATGTGGTAATAAAACCTAAATAAATATTGCATTCTCTGTGAGGAAATACTCTCCATCACTAATACTCGTCAAACATAAAGCCAGGGAGAGAATAGGTAACTGTCCAAGAACTGACAGCGTAACGGAGCCACCAAGTCAGGACAAGGGCACACGTTTTCTATAAAACATTTACTGCTTGGTCTTTGCTCAGTAATACCAAAGGATGAAAGGAAGTCATAGGTCAGTGGCCGCTGTAACATATAGGATAACAATAAGCCAGAGTATGTGAATTATATTGGTTCCATAACCCAGAAGGAAATGCATCTAGGTTAAAATAAAAAAGACATTTCACCAAGTGCCAGGTAGAAACAACATGGTGATGGAGATGTTAAAAGTTTTCTTATTATGTCAGTTGGGAACAATTTAGAGATCTACTCGCTGAAACCCTGGCAGGAGGAACTCTGGGCACAGGTGTCCAGCGCGGGCCTCGCTCTAAGTTAAGAGTTCCCTCTGCGGGAACAAGGAGCTGCGGCAGCTTCTCATCCACAGCACTGGAGCAATGGAGACGGGGAGATGCGAGGCCTGAGGCAACCACAGCTAGGAAGAAGACTGAACGCCAAAGCTCCCTCTGCCCAATGCCTACCCCACTTCTACCATCCAAGAGGCAAAAGCTGTTACAGCTTTTACGACGGCCGTACATCCTGCCAAACTCGGCTTTTATAATGTCCTGAAAACTCCTTTCATGATACAAGCCAGGTTTTGTCAATGGACAGATGTTATTTTTAGCCAGAAGTCTTTTTCTTTATTAACAAATTAAGAGTAAACATCACATTGGTGTGGCTGGAAGTGAATAGTCCATGTTGACAGCTCAGGGGGGAAAAAGCGGACTCCTGTTACTGGGTTTGTTCTATTCACTCACAACTACAAGTGTCAGAGCTAGAATTTATAATAGTTGCTAGCTGGGTTCAGAAGTCCCCTTCCTACTTGTGTGAGTTTTTTCAAGTAACTAATTCCGCTTGCAGAGGATGCCTCTGGCACACTTCACAACAAAAAGAAACACTGGTGTCCAGAACCAGTGGCCTCTACTCACATTCACAAAATAATTATAGGCAGAGTAAGCACAGCATCAGAATAGGAGCTAGCCTTCCTAAACCACTAGGTCTTTCTTAGAAGGGATGCACCCCCTTCCTGATAGATCACAACTATTTCCAGAATAAATCCAGCATGTACCAATTCCTTACTCCATTCTCTGAAACATCAGTGAACCAAATAACCCATTATTCATAATGAGCAGCTTTGGAAGATGTGGCTAACTTGTAGCTTCCACAATAGACTTCATGAAGACCACCACACCCCATCACTACCACCTACATACAGTGCAGGGCACAGACAGAATCCATAGCAGGAAGACTGTCCCAAACTCAAAAATATAATGTTTTTAAATGATTAACTACAAATTATTTCTCATAGGCAAGTGATTATAACATGCAAAATGTATTAACTTATAAAATGCTAAAGAGACAAGTATAATATTCAGAAGGCTAAAGTTCACTGACTAGCTCTTTGTCTTAAGATCAAGATCTAAAAGGGACAAACTGATTTATAGTTATTACTTCTTATTTTCCTGAAGCGTTTTACCCTAACCCATTCTAGATACCTCTCTAAGTTGCCATGAACTTTCGCCACAGCACCAGAGGTGTGAAGTTCTACCTCTAGCACAAATAGCAAACCTTCCCATTGCCTCCATTCCAGGGCTGCTAAATGGTAATAAGAAAATGTACCCATACGCATCTCTGTGAATGGATATAAAGTGACAGCAAGGAATGCACGCTGTCGATATTAAAAACATCATAAACACATCCTACTGAGTCATCAGACATCAAAGACTGGTATGTTTGCTTTTACATGAAAAGCCAGACCCACCCCAACACAGACCCCCAACCAGCCAGCCATTCCCAGCCACAGTACTGCAAATAGAGGCTACAATGGACCACAAGAAACAAAGTACAAGGAACCCTATGAGCTTAGCTAGGAAGGGGATCTAAGTCAGGCTTCAGAAAAGGCCCAGAATGGTAAAACTGTTTCTCAGGAAGAGTAATAATAACACTCACAGCATAATTCTTCTCTACATTTTAGTGGGAAAAAAATGTGTCTGTAGAGCTACAGAACAGTGTGCAAGGTAAAGCCCACCAAGGAGCATAGGCTGGGTCCATCATAATGACTACACATTCCTCATGGGATTTACTTTATTAGATTTCACAGGATGCAGACATTGTAAATATCCTCATATTGTGTACACACATACACACACACACACACACACACACACACACACACACACACACACACACACAAACAGACAAACTAAACAGCTAAGGAGACTCCACTGGGTGATTCCAGTATACCCTGCTTCAGAAGACAACAAACAGATAAAATATTTCCTGGAAAAATATTAATATCTGAGGGTGTATTTTTCAGATTACAGCCTGGAAATAGTTTTATGATACTGAATTACACCCCTTCACTTCTCTTAAATAAATGGCTTCGCTCCTCTTGCTCTTCAGATGATGCCATATTTCAACTCTAAATTAATACCTCCCTTTGGGACAGAAGAGAATGAAGAGAAAAATGAGGCAGACTGGAAGACACGATAAGAGACACACTAACGGCCATGGTTTCAAACTTCGTGTCTGTGGATCACTGTTCAACAAAAGGCCTTTAAAATGTTTTTTTATTTGTAGCTTCTACTGAAGAAAAAAAAAAAGGTAATAAAAATGAAAAGGCAAGAGCAATTTTCTTTAACATTTCCCGGCATGTCTTCTCTTTCAAGTCCCAGAAAAGTTAGTACAGAGACATGCATAAAGCCATCGGGGCACCAAGCTGGACTCCAGCCATCCTCTGAGTCAGCGGCTTGCCAGGTGATTGCTCAGACAGAACTGCAAGGCTCCGCTGGAATGTTACAGAAAACACCAATCACGATAATCTCATTAATTGCACAGCTGTGATCACCTCCTTTCCAACACTACACATCCAGTGTCTGCCCCAGGTATTTACAAACGAGGGGTGGGAGGAATCATCTGCGTGATCGGGAAGGATGGCTGAACAGCGGAAAGGGCTTCAGGACATCTGCTTCTCATTTTCTTCCTAACCTGCCTCAGAACAAACCTTGAACCTCTCGTCACTGTTGGTTAACCATGCTCAGACCCATCTGAGTCCGTTGAGGGGGATCCACAGCCCCTTCCTGCTCACGTGTAGAAACTAAAACAGAAGTCACCTAACTCTGCCCTGGGACCCACAGGAAGCACACTCCTCCCCCAATCAGGTAGTAATTTCCTGATATCTACCTGAAGCTACAAATCCCTCTTTAACCTCTTTCTCAGCACAAGTCTAAGTGAGGCATTAGCTTCTCTTCAGCTAATCCCATGCCTCAGTCAAGCACCTGAACCGCTAAGAGCAGCTTATGTTTGTAACATAAGCATGGTTCCTTTGAATGCAAAATGGCATGCTTAACGTAAAGTGTACGAATTTAAATGCTTAGAGAGATGACAAGGTTTTACAAAGATGTGCATTTACATGTGCATCTATGTGTTGGTGCATCTACATGTGTGAGCCTAGTAACAATTTTCTGATACGACAGAGGAAATGAAAATATCTATGACCTTTGAACCACTTACTAATTGTATCTATTTGGACACAGTATTTAAACTCACTGTCTCCATCTGTTAAATATGGATACTAGAGTTTGCATACTAAACAAATGACCCACAAGAAGAAACTAGCACATGGGCCCATCAATGAATACAGCTGCCATTATTATTACTATTCAAGTAACATGTAATTTGAGAGCACAAATGTCAGTTAGGCACTATTTCAAATGAAACCTCTCCAATGCATTGAATGTATCCTCATTCTACTGATTCTCTGACCTAAAAGGGCAAGCCATTTCCCATAAGCACCCTGTGAACCCTAGCAGGTGGGAGAGCTTACCTTGTGGGCACAGGGACCTCAGTCAGGGCACCCAGCATGACAGCCTGCTGTAGCCGAACAAAGGCAATGAATGGAGTATCCAAGAAGTCAACTTCCCCAACAAGCACGTTGGAGGCTTCTGCATCGCGTGGCAGTTTTTTCATAAATTTATTCTTCAGCTGCACAGGAAGGGCCAAGAAAATATAATTTATTTCAAGAGAGAGAAGAGTAAGAAAATATAGCATATCCATTCCTCACAGGAAATCTCTTGAAATGAGTCTTCACAGAGCAGTACTTGGCCAGACACTTTAGTATTATGATTAACCATTATGTCATAGTAAACACCTATCTGTCCCTTCAAAAAAATACTAAAGATGCAATAACATGGGATATATATTATACACATACCCATACATATTAGTATACAACATATCTCCATTAATCGATTTACATTCACTCAATACACTATTGAGAATTTACAGACAATGATCTAAGCCAGAGGACTAGCAGGAAAGAAAGACTCATTCCATGCCCCTATCAGGTTCGCATTACCTTTGGGGACATAAAATATGATTTAAAGTAATGGAAAGTACTGAGAAGGAAAATGGGACAGATAAGAAAGTACTATTTCTCAGAGATGTCAAGGAAGGCTGCTGAAGAAACACACTGGACAATGGAGAAAGGATACAAGCCATATGCAAAGACCTAGACTGAAACACCAGGCAAGCAAAGGGATACTGGAAAGCCTTGGGACAGGAAGGAGGTGGGTGGCTAATGGAGTAGTGCAAAGTCCAGTGTGGGAAGCTAAGAAGCAAAGAGGAGAAGAGAAACCAAAGCTGCATGGACAATGGGGACCATGTCATGGGTCACTGGAGGCCATGGAAAAGAGCTGAGAAAGGTATGAAGATGTCTCCTACATAACTTGAGCATGACTTGGGAGCTACTGGTATTAAAGGCCACAGAACAGAATAACACAACCCCGAGTGTGAGCATAGACTGAGAAAAGCACCAAGACTCAGACCCTTCATAGACACTCTATCCTTCATAGAGACAGAAAGCATTGAGGAAGACCATGGAGAAGAGCAGTGACGAAGAAGAAAACTAGGACTTTATCAACAGCCAGAGAGGAAAGGCTGAAATAATGACCAGGTATTAGCAGCTGCATCCTAAGCAAGTGGAGTTTCCAAAAAGATGAAACGTAAGAGTAGATCAAAGAACCTGGCCCAACAGCCATGCTGGGAAATAAGAGTAGGTACAGTGGCCATCAGGGAACCAGTGGAGACTGGGAACACAGACCGTTATGTTAAAAAATATTGCTGCAAAGAAAAGATGAGCAATGGGAAGGTCGGTGGAAGAGAGTGCAAAATGGAAAAAAGTTTAAAAGTGTGGGTATCACAGCCCTTTAGAAAGTGAACAGAATGAGCTAATGGAGGCAGATTGCTGCTATAGGAACAGTAGAGAATAAGTACAAAAATAACTGCAAACCAAACATCCTGGAACTACCGAGCAGGGGTGGTATCCGCATCCCAGATAGAGGACTCAACTGTACACAGGAACACAGCTTACAAACCTACCAAAAAAGCAGACTGGATGGGTTTGAACGTGGGTGATTTGAGAGACTTGCTAGGTGGTGACGAGGGCTTCTAAGGACTCATATTTCTGCAGTGAACCAGAAGTGAGCTGATGGTGAGGGGGAGGGAAGTGTTTGGAGGATTAAGGAGAGTGTAAAGCCATTTTTTCTCTCAGTGAAGGCTGCTGGACACAGTCAATTTGAAAGTTTCTCGAATACTCATTATTCGTTTATCCAATTCAGGGGAATTATTTCAGCAATAATGGACGGATAAAGATAAGAACTTGACAAAATCACACAAAAGGCACAGACTTCCAATAAACACTTTTTACACACTATACATGTCTTACCCTTTATGTCAAAAGTACCAGTGAGCTTAATTGTTTCTGCCATAGATTATTGCTAAGACAGGAAGTGGCAGGCATGGCCCAATATCCCCAATTAGTAAGAAGGCTCTGTCAACATTTTCCTTTCGACTTCTCCTTAAGAGTTTCTTAACTGGGGAAAATATATGAGATGAAAACTGATCTCTAGCACTCTATTACCCTCCATCACCTTCCATCACCACCCACGTGACAAGGCGGCTCTCAGGTTAAAAAGCCAAAAAGGTGGGATCAAGACATTGTGGGATGCCTCCCAAACAGATCAAGCCAATCAACTGTCTCACCCATTCAGAGGGCCTGATCCAGTTGGTGACCCCTCAGCCATTGGTTCATAGTTCATGTGTTTCCATTCGTTTGGCTATTTGTCCCTGTGCTTTATCCAACCATGGTCTCAACAATTCTTGCTCATATAAACCCTCCTCTTTCTCACCAATTGGACTCCCGGAGCTCCACCCGGGGCCTAGCCGTGGATCTCTGCATCCAGATCCCTCAGTCATTGGATGGGGTTTCTAGCACGACAATTGGGGTGTTTGGCCATCCCATCACCAAAGTAGGTCAGTTCAGGCTGTCTCTCGACCATTACCAGCAGTCTATTGTGGGAGTATCTTTGTGGACTTCTGTGGGCCTCTCTAGCACTTTGCTTCTTCCTATTCTCATGCAGTGGGACTGGGTCCTGTGCTCATTGCATGAGTTGGCTGTTTGAAACCTGGGGCTTATGCAGGGTTGCTTGGCTCAGCCTGGGAGGAGGGGACTGGACCTGCCTGGACTGAGTCTACCAGGTTGATCTCAGTCCTCGGGGGAGGCTTTGCCCTGGAGGAGGTGGGAATGGGGGGTGGGCTGGGGGGAAGGGGAGGGGGGCGGGAGGGGGGAGAACAAGGGAATCCGTGGCTGATATGTAGACCTGAATTGTATTGTAAAATAAAATAAAGAAAAAAAAAGACATTGTGGGAATCAAAATAAATATATTAACAGATCAAAGCAGAGTACGTATTCTTAGATATTAACAGCATGGTTACTTTAAGCAGTATGGAATTTTCCAAAACTTCTACCACTCAGCACACATAAACCATATTAAAAATTATATTATAATGTCATTTATAGGAAAGCTGTATATAACTAAAGAACATCTTGCTAAATGAAATAAATAAGACTCTGAATACAAATATCACGTTTTCTCTTATATCTCATAAATGTGATCTTGACTTAAATTTTATACACACGGGCATATGTATATAAAAATACAAAGCAAATATAAAGAGGATGTGGTCTAAATGGAGGGAGAGAAGGACTAAGGGAATATAACAGAAGACAAACTACTGCATTTCCTTCTGTCATATGCACAATATAGATTTCATAGACACAGATACATACATGTGTACGTGAGACAGCGACATGAACGCACAAAGGGAGATTGTTTGGGAATGGGAAGAGACCGACCACCAAGGAGGGAGGGAAGACAGAGGAAGGTAGGGGGCTCAATGGGAGCAAAGTACAATGACATAGATGTATGAAAAGATAATGAAACCCCATTATTTTGTACACTAAAACAGTAAAAAAAAAAAAAAAGTACCCTTTTAACATACAGATATGAAAAAGCAGCCCCACAAAAGGTCTACAACCATCAAGTAATCAAAAATTCTTATTGCCTAGGAAGTTAATGAATGGTTCCCAAACACACAAAGCCGACTGGAGTATGGCTGAGTGGCCCACACACAGGCAAAATAAGGCCTCAAACTCTTCCCAGACTAGTCCTTCTTTATGGACACAGAATGCAAAGCATAAAAGAATCTGACTGTACACCCATTCTCTTCTCTAGACTCTTGACTACAGGTAGCCAGGGATGCTAACTACCATCCCCTATGGTTACTGTACTTAAGGGTCTCAGACTTCCGACCGAGAAGCACCCTTCAGAGCTCAGCACTGCTTACTCTACCATCTCAGGCCACTTCCTTGGACACTTCAGTAGTCATTTCTAAATCACATGTTAGATGTTCCGAAGAAGGTAAGAGCAGTTCATTGGAAATAAACTCAATAGCCACTTTACTCATAATTCATTTGTAATAAATACTGTGAGTGGGAGAAATGGATTTTGTAGCAATGAAAATTGGATCAATAGACCATCAAACTGTCCAGGAAAGTTATAAGAGCTTTTAGGGCTCAACTGCAAAAAACGATGCAGCTCCCAAAACATGCAGAATATCCAGTCCACTAAATAGCCAACAGTGTCTGGCTGGCTCTTTCACACTTTAACTGAGACTATTGTATTCCTATAACTCAGTCCTTAGATGAATCTTCCCTACCGGAGCACACTTTTTGGGTGGTCTTGTCAAGTCTCATGCTTTGAAGATTCATCTACACACTGATGTCTCACAAATACATATCTTCAGCCAGAACCTTTCACAAAACTCCAGACCTGCAACACCTTCATCTGGATTTCTAACATGCATTTCATTGCACACATCCAAAATGAGCCTTTATAATAGTGTCCCCTCCGTCCCACCCCATAAGCTGCCAGCTCTTCTTGCATTCTTCACTCCTGCTGAACAGCAATCCCATTCTTCCATACCTCAGTCCCAAGACTTTGCTGTCAGCTTCAACCCTTCTCTTTCTTCCGTACTCAAGTCCATTCTGTCAGCAGATCCTGCTAGATCTGTGATCACACTGTATCTAGAATCCCACTGTTTCTTGACCACCTTCAATGTCACCGCCCTGGTCCATGCTATGGTCATTCTCATTGTGGCACCGGGTTCCTGCCTAGATTGCCATTTTCTTCCTTTCTTCCCCAACTATTAATGAAAGTGGCCAGATCGGGTATATCAGGAGCCAGATCATTTCATCCCTGTACTCAAAACTCTCTATTGGCTGCCATTTCGTAAGGTGAATTCAAGACAGTTATGAAAACTCCTGAGTCCTAGCAACATTCATAGGCCATAAACTCCATGCCCTGATCTCCTTCCATTTTCTCCCGGTCTTCACTTGAGCAACCATTCCAGCCTCCACATCCTCATCCATATGCCTGAGGCCTGCTCAGCTCAGGTCCTTCTGTCATAGCTGCTGTTTCTCTCAAAAAGAAGTTGTGCAGGGTCCCCTTCCTCAGTCCTTCATTAGCTACTAAAAGTCACTCTCTCAGTAGAGAGACTGTCTCTACTCATATGAGTCAAGATATCTACTCCCTCTCCTCCCAAACACTTCCCATTCCTCTCTCTGCCTTGGTTGTTGTTCCTTG